TTGGATGAATGAGTGAATGAATGATTGATTGATGGTTTGACAGGTTGCTTTGTATACAGGCCGTGCATTAGAACCAAGAGATGGATGATTCGATTGTTTGAAGACATTTCTAAAATAATCCTGAACTCAAGTAAATATTTTTTTCTTTACACTCTCACTATTTTTGATCATTATCAGTACCATCCAATCAAATCATCATAATCATTATCGTTGTCATCATCATCATTTTATTTATTTTTATTATAATCTTTTAAACTATTGTAAATGCAATTTTTTATCATCATCAACACCACGGTCGTCATCATTTTTATCATAGTCATCCATGACGTCATCATCATCGTCATTACAGATGATCACGTGACAAGGTTAAGGAGGAAATGATCTGACCTCAAAAGTTTGTCTCATAAACCAGCCCATGTGCAGATGTATGTATCTACGTATGTATGCACGAATGAATGTATGTATGTATTTATGTATGTACGTATGTATGTATGGATGTACGTACGTATGTGTGTATGAATTTGTTTTGGGCGATAATATTGTTTTTGTTGTTGTAGTTGTTGTGGTTGTTGTTGATGTTGTTGTTGATGTGGTTGTTGTTGTTGTTGTTGATGTTGTTGTTGATGTGGTTGTTGTTGTTGTTGTTGATGTTGTTGTTTTTACATTAGTGTTCAACCGTTGACATTCTTGCTTAATTATTAAAGGTTCGCCCGAAACTATTTGAAATTTCAATTGCACACAAACACAAATATATATATATACATATATACAACCGCACACACAAACAAACACAAACACTCAAACACACATACACACACACACAAACACACTCACACACGATCATCATTCACCTGAGCCAATTCATTGAACTACTCGCTGGTGACGTAGCTATGGCGACAACCAAACACGTGCGCTCCTTTCAAAGTTTGTTTACAAAGTTCTTCACGTACATACAAAAAAAAACGCATGGAAACATATTGACAATTATACAAACATCATAAAAAAAATACAACAAACAAACACACAAAAAGAAAAAACATACAAACAAAAATACAAACCACGCATACAAAAGTTTATTGAAGCATGTATACTAAACTAACATACGTACACACACACACACACACACACACACACACATACATACATACATACATACATACATACATACATACATACATACATACATACATACATACAAAAATATACAAATATATTTGCATCTTTGCACATTTGAAAGACATGTCCACGTAGATAGTTTTGTATTTTTTTATTAATTAGTTTCTCCCATTCATAAGTGCTTCGTTATCATAATTATCATCATTAATAATAAAAATAATAATAATATTATTATTATTATTGTTATTGTTGTTATTGTTGCTATTATTATTGTTGTTGATAAACGAGCAAAAACTTTTTTCTAAATCGTTTCTTCATCCATCCATTTATCCGTCCGTCCGTCCGTCCATCCATCCATCCATCCATCCATCCATCCGTCCATCCGTCCATCCATCCATCCATCCATCCATCCATCCGTTCATTCATCCATACATTCAAAGAATGCATTATCATACATTATTATTTGTTTGCTATACATTTAACCCCCTACCTTCCTTTGTTTGTCTTTCGGATCGCTGCACATTTCACACACACACACGCACACACACATGCATACGCACACACGCCCGCACACACACACAGACACAAACATACACACACTCACAAATATATATATATATATTTATATAATTATATATATATATATAATTATATTTTTATAAATGTGTGTGTGTATATGTATATATATATTATTTATATATATTTATTTAATAGATATATTTATATATGTGTATATATTTATTTACATCCAGGCCTTTTCCGTATGACGTCAGAGGTGCAAATTTAAATATGTAATTAGGTGTTCCTGGAATGATAGGAGATCCATTGTAATATGGCGGCCGTGTTTTTATTTTCTGTCATTGTTATTACTGCTGTGGTTGTTGTTTTTATTATTATTATTGGTTATTATTGGTTATTATTGGTTAATATTATTATTGGTTAATATTATTATTGGTTATTATTATTATTATTATTGGTTATGTCATTTGCATCAATGTTTGTTTCATTTTTACGCCCTATATATTTGAATTAGTTTGATTACATGATTATTATTATTATTGTTTTGTAATTATCATCATCGTCGTCGTCATCGTCATCATCGTCATCACCATCTTCTTTAAACAAATAAATAATTTCAGATGATTAGGTGGTGAACATTTAAAAGCATCCAATCATGCGTGGAACATCGGTAGGGAAAAAGGTTTGTTAGTACTTGTCTGTCTGTCTCCCTGTCTATCTAACTCTCTGTCTATCTGTCTGTTTGTTTGTATGTATTTATGTATGTTTGTATGTGCGTCTGTTTGTCCGTCTTTTTGTATGTGTGCTCGTATGTTTGAATGTAATTTAGTTTGTGGACATTAAACGAAATAACGAATTGCATTTAAATTTATCTCAATAAAACATAAGACGAAATTCGTTTTATAACTATGTCTGTGTATGTATGTGTGTATGTATGTCTGTGTATGTATGAGTGTCTGTGTGTGTACTTGTATATATGTATGTATGTGTATGTATATGTATGTGTGTATTTTAAAGTAGGAAAATGTCAAAATTGAACAAACAAATCCCAAAAACAAAATGGTTCGCCTCAATACTTGAAAATTTTTTTTATATACAGGTAAGTAAACATGCATATACAAACAAATAAATGAACAAACACAGACAGACAGACAAACATACAAACAATAATGCATACATGCAAACAAACAAAACTCAACAAAACCTAGAATACATTCAAGACACACAAAAAATGAATAAACACCAACAATTCAAAACACTTAAAAAAATGTTTACAAAAATCATAAGTAATCAAAAATAAAACTGTAAACATAAGCAAAAACATATACAGATACAAAATAAAAACACAAAAACGTACAATAAACATACACAAACATACAAAAAATTTGCATAAACATACATAACCATACCAAACTTTACAAAATCATAAAAAAAACAAACAAAATCATGCAAAGATATGCATATACCAAACTAAAGCCTAGACAAAAACATACATAATCATACAAAAACACACGAAAAACATAAGATATATACGTCCATTTGATGTATATTATACATTCATATATCTCTGGTTCAAAGGTAAGGTATAATGAAATCTATGTGTGTCTATGTAATGTAATGTATGTATGATTGTATATATTTATCCATGTACGTATATAAATATATATATATATATTTATGTATGTATGTATGTATGTGTTTATAAGGGTGCTGCCAGGAAATCACAAACATATTGTAAGAGATATTCATCTAATTTATATGGTGTATTGTATGTTATTTTGTTATTTTATGACGATATACTGGTGATTAAAAAATGCGGGTAAATAAATTTAAATATCAAGATTAATTACTCTGATTTATCTCCAGAAAGATAATTGTTTTCTGATTTTTACGAGGTTTCATTTTAAGTCAATTAATAGAGTAGATAGGTTGGTCATGAATGAGCAGTGAATGTGATAATGTATTATTTTTATATAGAACCTATTGGGGATTAACAGATTAAAGTTTAATCATTAAACAGTTCAACTACGAAGTTTAAACTTGATAACAAGCCTGCTTGAATCAACTACGCCAACGACAACAAACAGCACATGTGTTTTCTTACAACGGAAACGTTCGCGCGCGCACACACACACACACGTGAAAACAAACACTCTTATAGATGAACAGTTAAACGAACATAAACAACATTCTAAACAACAACGCAAACGACACGTGCTCACTTAATTTTGTTACTTACATTCTCTCTCTCTCTCTCTCTCCTCTCTCTCTCTCTCTCTCTCTCTCTCTCTCTCTCTCTCTCTCGGTCTTTCTCTGCTTCTCCATCTCTCTCTCTCTCTCTGAGATTTAACGATGAGCGATTTAGAAATTGATGATTCTAGAAAATCCATAATCTTCAACAACATCAACAACAGTAACATCAACAACAACAACAACAACAACAACAACAACAACAACAACAACAACAACAACAACAACAACAACAACATAGTCGGCAACGTTCATAAAGGTCTCATCAGCAGCAACAACAACACTTTTAACATTGAGGTAGTAAGCAGTGCCAACAACAATTACATTCCTACGTTTGGCTATCACATCAACAACAACAACCAAAACGCTTACTTCAATAAAAGTTTAAACCTTCTCAACTGCAATAACAACGACATTAACAAATGCTCAGTTTCCAACGATACACTCGGTAAAAACTTCAACAACAACAACAACATCAACACCAACAAAATTTTTACCAACAATAACATCAACAACATCAACAACAACAACATCAACAACAACATCTGCAGCAGCAGCACCAGCAGTGTCAGTAAATTAATCAACAACAGCCACACACCTGATAACAATAACTCAACCAAAAGTGAGCCATTTGGTCAACAAAACGCGCTGGTCTCAAGTTACAACAACAACAACAACAACAACAACAACAACAACAACAACATGTTGATGAATGACTGCCCTGACATCAACATGGCAGCCAATAATAATGATGACCAGGTTGGTGGCTTTACGTTATTAATGTTCTCTCTTTCTCTCTGAAAAAAACCTATCACGAATTATTGTCATTAGTGTTGTTGCTAATTAGTGCTTACAACAACTATGATGACATCAAAGACATTAACAACAACAACAACAACAAATTTTTGAAAACTGCCCAACATACAAACATTTTTGCATTGGTTCATAACTCTATACCTACCCATCTGCAGAGCAAGCACAGAAGAGGTAAAAAACCAGAGTCTACACAAAACTCACAAACAGTTGACACAAACATATATGTATTTGTATATACTGGAATAACAATACTCCTAGGACAACAAATTGACATGCACAGTTGCACGCAAAAAAGTTGATACACAAATTCACATACACGGCGCTACACGGTGCGACACGACATCAACTTCCGTCCACAAGCTTTTTAGAATCATCCACCTTTCGTAGATTTGATTAAAAAGTAGCGTTACATAAAATTAGCGATTAATGGCACCTCCTATGTTTGTGTGTATCTATGTATGCTCGCATGTAAGGATGCTTGTACGTCTGTATGTATGTATGTATGTATGTGTTTGTTTGTTTGTGTGTTTGTTTGTTTGTATGTTTGAATAATGATTATACATACGTTTGTATGTATTATTATTATTTGTCATTCATTAGCAAATCGTCCTCAATGGCAAAGCTTTGATTTGAATTTAATTTGAATAAATTTATCTTAAACGCGGTCTTCCTTACTGCTACTACTACTAATGCAACTACTAAAACTACTACTACTTTTATTATTACTATTTCTATTACTACTACTACTTCTCCTACTACTACTACTACTACTACTACTACTACTACTACTACTATTACTACTAATACTACTACTACTACTAATACTACTACTGCATTAGCAGCTGCTACTGTTACTACTAATACTACTAATGACATTATCCAGCCCGATACACGTAATATTGTATAAATACCATTGAAAATACCACTATCTAAATTGTATATACCAGCTATCGCGTACTAACGTAGAATGTTTTTCCATTGTATGATGTTGAAACAGCTCGTGAACTACTAAACCAAATTTTGCGTGTGCGTGGTTTTAAGAGGCTCCTTCCTTACTAAATGCCGTACGTTGGGTGGAAGGTGGGGCTTGAAATCGTAACAATTCGGCTTGGAATCGTTTTTTGGGTGCATAGGGAATGTCTTAGGTGGTGGTCAAGTCCTTGAGTAAAAATATGGGCTTTTATCAAAGGGGTTAAATTCGCACTACCAAGGATGCTACCTATCACATTTAATTATCGTCAACACGTCACATGACAACAACAACAACATCAAAGTATCAAGTGACAAAAACAACAACATCAACGTATCAAGTGACAACAACAACAGCAGCAACAACAAAAACATCAACAATATCAACTTATCAAGTGACAACAACAAAAACAACATCAACTTATCACGTGACATCGTTGTAGAATTCATTACACTAATTACATTATTCGAACGACCTTAATTTAATATGCCTAGGACGGATCTATGGATTTATATAACACATATCTCATATTATATATATATATTTTTATGTGTGTGTGTGTGTGTGTGTGTTTGTGTTTGTGTACGTTTGTGTGTATTTGTTCCTGTGTTTGTGTGTGAGTGTGTGAGCGTGTGTGTGGGGTATGAAAATAGCCAATCATATCCCTGTATGAGATCATTTTAACAAGGACATACATACATACATACATACATACATACATACATACATACATACATACATACATACATACATACATACATACATACATACATACATACATACATACATACATACATACATACATGCATACATACATACATACATACATACACACATACATACATACATACACACATACCTACATACATACATACATACAAATATACATACATACATACTATACGATACGATCGTCACAAACATACATGCATCACACAAGCAGAAACACAAACATACAGAACACATAAATACAAACACACACGTACATACAAAAAGACAAACATACAAAGACATACACGTGCATATTTGCGTCAATAATATGGACAATTATTTGTACGCACTTGAAAAGAGGAAACCTTATTTTTTGTTTATTTTATCCTATATCTTTGCATTCTTGCATATATATTTTGTATGTGGTCTTCTTTGTATGTATTTGTTGAATGTAGTACTTTTGTATACATTGTTTTGAATGTTGTATCCTTTGTATACTTTTTGTATTTGGTATTTTTTGTATGTTATTCTCCATTTTTTTCCATATGTTTTTCATTTGTTTGCCTTTAAATATTGCTTATGTATATGCGCCTAGGAACTTGATTGATTTTTCCCTTCAATGCATTTTTTTGTTTCGATGAAATAATGCAATGAGTAAATTAAAAATAACAAACATTATTTAATTTTAAATTAATTAATCAATTAATTAATTTATTTATTTAAATAATTGAAAAACACATAAAGTAATTAATTAAATGATGCACGAGTAAAAGCCGGCGGAAACATTTATTTTGATTAATGCAGCATATAAACCGACTTGCACATTTTGTGAAAAATCTAAGCTTTTTCTGTTTTATTTATTTTTATTTGTCTGCTTGTGGTTTTGTGTATGCTTCTGCAAAATTTTGTGTATTTATTGTATTTAGTTTTGTATTCTCATGTACTTTGCATCAAATATTTATTTAGGAATGGATACAAAAACAGTTAGATTTCTGCTGTTGTTGTCGTTGTTGTAAGTTTATTATCGTTACTGTTATTGTTTTAGTTGTAACCGCTTGCTGATTGACCAATCATTTCTCTTCCTAGTCTCTCCTGGTTTCTCCAGAATTTCCGCCACCACCTGCAGTCTCCCATTTTTTGTCTCTCTTTTGCTTCATAGTTGCTACACTAGCTGGTCTTACTGATTATATCTGACCCCTTGTAAGCTCCTTCTTCATTGGTGGCTGGGTCCACTGAACCATCAGTGTATATTATGACGACATCATATTTTTCCACCTCTGATATTAACTCTTAAGTTGTTTGTCTTTTCTGTTGTTGTTGTTTTTAATGTTGTTTTTAGTGTTGTTTTTGTTGTTTTTAATGTTGTTTTTAGTGTTGTTGTTTTGTTGTTGTTGTTGTTGTTTTCAATGTTGTTTTTAGTGTTGTTGTTTTGTTGTTGTTGTTGTTGTTTTCAATGTTGTTTTTAGTGTTGTTGTTGCTTTGTTGGCTTTTCTGAAAGAATTAGGAATGTCACGTTCAGATAATAAATTACCGTTCAATTTTTATTTACATTTTAATGTTCATAGAATTTTAACTATAATAAAATTAAAGATATAAAGACAACAAATAAAGTTTATTTAAGTATCGCGTTGTTTACGTGGTTAACGAAATAGCGTAGAGAGGAATGCACTTGAATTTGATGTTGCAGTGACTAGATTCAAATGCATAAAAATTCCCTACCATCACATGCAATGTATGTGTGTGTGTGTGTGTGTGTGTGTGTGAGAGAGAAAGAAAAAGAGAGAAAGAAAAAGAGAGAGAAAGAGAGAGAGAGAGTGTGTGTATGTTTGTGTAAACATCTTTAGCAATATTATGTTTTTGTTGCAAATATGTAGAGTAATGTATTGTTTTGTATTGCATTGTTGGGCGTTCTTTAATAACAAATTTGTAAATGGGGAGAAAAAAATTCTGAAAGACTTTTTTTGTATCTTTGGTCACGCAATAACGTCTTCAATCTACTTCAATGTTCATTTTGTTTTGCTTTTCTAGGCTGGAAAAATATTGAAAGCATTAAAATAATTCATTCATTAATTCAGTTAATCACTTCTTTTTTATCTATTCATCATTCCTTTTTTCATTCAATCAGCCTCTCATTCATATCTTCATTCATTCATTTATTCATTCATTCATTCATTCCAACATATATACATATAAACACATATTCACACATACTTACATACATTCAAAAACTCAATCATTTATACACGCACATACATACAAACATACATATACAAATACACACACGCGTACTTACATACATACATAGACACATACATACATACAAACACAAACATACATACAAACATACATACTGTCAAACATACAAACTTTGTATATGTATGCATATGTATTGTTTAATACTTAAGACCTTATTCCCAGAACCAGAGCACTTCAAGGCAATTGTCTTGCTTGACTGAACTGAGATTGATTTGAAAGTTTTTTAACTTTTTTTTCTTTCGCTCTACATAAATGAATGTTGTTTCTTTTTTGTATTTTTTGTATTTTTTTGTGTCCTTTGTTTTTTGATGTTTTTGTATTTTTTCGTTTTGTTTTACTGTTTTGTTTTTGGTTTGTTTCTGCTTTATTTTTGTCTTTCAGTGAGTTTTTCATTTTCTAAATTTACTGCCACCTATATGAAATAAAAAATACCTTCCTTCCAGTTCCATTAAATCATCAACTTTTATTGCTTCTTGAAGGATGTACGACTCCAGGCCATACTCACATACAAGGAATAATATTATTAACAATCATAATTTTTAATGATCACGATAAAATTATTAGTGATTTTATTATTCCTGTTAATGTCATTATTATTGTGTATTATTATTATTAGTAGTAGTAGTAGATGTAGTAATAATAGTAGTAGTACTAGTAGTAGTAGCAGTAGTAATAGTAGTAGCTGCAGCAGCAGTAGAAGTAGTAGTAGTAGTAGTAGTAGTAGTAGCAGTAGTAGTAGTAGTAGTTGTTGTTGTTGTTGTTGTTGTTGTAGCAGTAGTAGTAGCAGTAGTAGTAATTGTTTAATTTTCGTTTGTCAGGTACGCACCATATTCGTTAGCGGTCTACCGATGGATGCCAGGTCTCGGGAACTCTATCTACTATTTCAAGCCTTCAAAGTGGGTACCTAGTGAATGAATGAGTGATTGAATGAATGAGTGGATGGATGAATGAATGGATGGATGGATGGATGGATGGATGGATGGATGGGTGGATGGATGGATGGATGGGTGGATGGGTGGATGGATGGATGGATGGATGGATGGATGGATGGATGGATGGGTGGATGGATGGATGGATGGATGGATGGATGGATGGATGGATGGATGGATGGATGGATGGATGGATGGATGGATGGATGGATGGATGGATGGATGGATGGGTGGATGGATGGATGGACGGATGGATGAATGGATGCATGCATGCATGTATGGACGGACAGACGGATGGATGGATGCATGCATGGATGATTAATCGATAAACGGATGATTGATCTGGGTATGAATGGAGTACGAATGAATGAATGAATAAATAAATAAACAAATAAAGAATTTATTATTATTGTTATTATTATTCGAGTACTTT